TAGTTATTACTTTCTGTTCTCATAAAACAAAATGTTTACCAAAAAATTACTTCTGAGAGAAAGGTCAAAGTTTTCAAGGGATGGGAATTATAAAAAAAAAAAAAAGATTTCTAAAGTATGAGCAAAGCAGATGGCCACATTCTTCTGTCTTTTATCCTTGTCCTCAGAGGGGAATTTCACTGCAATCAATAGTTTTCAAAGTTGCATAGGAATTTGCTGGGAATCTGACTGGTTTGCTATGTATTTTTGGCTATTTCTGAAAGAGCACAAAAGTTACTCCTTGCTCTGTAAGAGGACACTGCGTTGGTTAAACATGAAAATGTACAAAAATGGCATATGCTGGTATCTCTATCATAGATAGGCCAATAGATGTGCGCATTTGACAATTCCTGGTAACTGAGAGAGAAGCAAATGTACTCAAACCAGATGAACCCTTCCATCATATTTGCCGTTTTTTGACCCCCTTGCTCATCACTTCCCACAGTTCTTTGGCACCCGATGAACTCCTGACCTGCCCACAGTTCTGAAATGTATGTGTTTTTGCCACCTAGATTTGTTATTAGAACACAAGTTTCAAAGTATGTATTGGATACACAGGCCTTGCACAGATTTCCAGGCCCTCTATGACCTTCCTCAAACTTGCAGAGCAAGAATAACACTTTTTTTTTTTTTTTTTGTAGAGATGTACCTTAAGGTTATGCTAACCAGTAGTGCTCGGTAGTGAGAAAGAGATAGGCCCACACCTCCCACAACGAAAAAAAAAAAAGTGTCTTAAGAACGTTGCTCCTCTGAATGAATTTACACTACGCTCAGATCTTTAAATTTAACACAGAAATCTCACCATGTTTTGGGGTGTAGTTTTTAATTTAATCTAACTCTGACAAGCACAAGGCATACTGAAACAGCAGGCCAGTGAAAATGCAGGGATTTAGAAATCAAGTCAAGATACTGCAACATACACTAAGAAGTTGGGAGCAAACTGCTGCCTCACCTGTTGTCATGCTGTTGCCTGACAAAATGCTTTGCACTGAGGTTCAGCCACAAATCTCTAAGGCCTCCGAATCTAAAATGACTGAACAAGAGGAGAAATACATCTGCAGGATTCTTTGCCTCTGTGTCTGTCTGGCAGGCACCTTTTGGCTCAGGGGAAAAAAAAAAACACTGTGGTTTAATGCCTCCCTGGCACTAATTTTATTGCTTTTCAGAAGCCTTTTTTTTCTTTTTTTCCTTTCCTTTACTACAGGACATGTTGCTGTGGTTGTGATGATCCTCAGGTTTCATGACACGATCGCTGCCTCTCCAGCTAAGCCTGGAGCACAGCAATAAACAGACTCTGTGATCACCAAACCCAACATCCAAAAAGAGCCCCCTGCCTTCAGGAGTGGAAGGAGGAATTCAGCTTCTTCGAAGCAGCAGAGCCAGGGAAACTGCTTCTGTGACCCGAGGCTGTGTCATACCTAGCAGACACTTTCAAAAGATAAACTCCTTCACAGGGAGGCTGCTCCACCTGCAGCAGCACTTTATTCCTGCTAGTTAGCCTTTCTCTTCTGAGATAAGAGTAATGGAAAGAGATGCGTATCAGGGAAGGTACTCACCTCCCTTTACAGGAAAAGCAGATTTATGACTCAGCTCACTGGGCTGAGCTAAAGAAATCAAGAGTATTTGGAAGGGATTATGTTGCCTTGCATGCAGCAGCTTGTATTCCTTAAAAATATACAAACCGATGATCGACCCGAAGGGAGGAAGATGAACCAGGAGCAAGTTCTACTCTTATTACAGCTCTTACTTGGTGGTACCAGAGCACTTCACAAACACCGATGAATTCAAGCTCACAATACTGTCTAAATACTATATCCACTAAATACTATATCCGACAGAGGAAAACTCAAGAAGAGAGCTATTACTTTACCCGTTGATAGGTTAGAAACCCAAATTAGAAACAAAATGCAAGGCTCCACCCAACAGATTGCATATGACAACTAACACTTGCACCTTACTTTGCAGAGGATGCTTTGTACTGGGCTTAACCAGCAGGGTTTTGGTAGCAGAGGACTACAGGGGTGGTGGGAGGCCAACACCTGCCCTGTGCCACTCACAGCCACTTCCAGCTGGCTCCAAAACTGCCATAAATAACCCACCGTGTGCCAGAACTTCAACCAGAGAAGTCTGTGGCTCCTCTGCTCACAAACAGTTCAGAAAGAGCAGCAGCTGCCAGAAGGCGAGGACACGGGGATGGAGGCACCGTTAGGGCCTGCATCATGCCTCACCTCACCAAAGGGACTGGCAATGTCTGGGTGTAATGTGGAAAAACCAGAGTGAGTGGAGACTCCGAAGAAGGGAGAGAAGGTTTCTGTTAAATTTGAGCCTGGGGAAGAAGGCCCTTCTTTCCTGAGCATTTTGTTCAATTACTAGTCTTTTTTTTTTTTTTTTTTTTTTCCCTTGATATCCATATTAGTTATCAAAAACTTTTTTTAATTGGCAAAAAATGAAGCAGAATTCCCCAGCTCAGGACTGTTTTGCTCACAAGGTGCTTACAAGGTGCTTGGCTTGTTCTTAAGTCCTACATGCTAAGAAATCAGTTGTTTAAAAACAAGAGTGGTGGAGAAAAAAGCAGAAGAGCATTGCTGCTTCTGGAGCTGCACTGAGTCCCACTAAAAAGCACATTTAGATTGTTTCAAGCATCCTGTGTAAGCATCTGCACAAGGTGAGAATGGGATGGAGGCACAGACATTGCCCAGCTAGACAACTTTCAGCCACCAAAACAGGCTCAGAGGTAAGCTAAGGTGAACTGTGACAGTGGAGGATAAAATCAGTCAGTGGGAGCCAGTACAAAGCAGATGCCACATCCTAAATTCAGACCTTTGTTTATTTCCTGATAACTTCCCTGCGGAGATATGCCGCGAGGGTCTTCTGAGACCTCTTGTGGTACACACTGCCTGTCTGCCTGTCAACTGTGCGAGAGACCAGGTATGTCCTCAGACTTCTTATTTCCTCCCAAATTAACCAACTGGCCATGCCTTGTTTTCTTCACGACCACCTGTGTGGTCAGAAAGCGTGCCAGCTTCCATTTTTTTCCTCTCAAAGCAGCTCTGTGAAAGGCTCAGGGACCTGTCAAATTAACACAGCCTCGGGGATGTGAAAAAGATAAGGAGCATTTTAGACTACAGCCCCCACTTTAACTGAAGCTATGCAACTCCTGAATGGAAGGGGGGAACCCTATTTGACTCACTTGCTTCATTTGATTTTACAGCTGCTGCACGGGGTTGCAGAAGGCTGATAAAATCTGTTTTAAACAGACAGAGTAAGTCCTGCCAGCAGGCTAATATTACTATTCATCTACTGCCTGCTTCCCTCATTATTCTCCCTTTTTGGAGATACGTTGATAAGTACGTTGCCTTCCTGTTTATTAAAGCATGTGGCAGTCTGATTTTATTTAATCAGCCCTTGGCCTATTTTCTAATTAAGGGAGATAATGTAGGCTCGTTTCCTGCCACAGTGAACCTGGCAGGGCATAGGTTGTCCTCAACTACCACACTAGAATCCAAGATTATTTGCTATGTCTGCTGTTGTCTGGCAGCTCCTCCCTTTCTCTCTGCCCAGCTGAAGACAAAAGTAAAGACTTTTTTTGTTTGTTTGTTTATTTATTTAATTTTTTTTTCCCTGAATTTCCATGCTGCTGACACCCACCAAAGTGGGAGACAGGGAGATGAAAGAAGCAGGTGGGGCTTCGTCAGATGGCTCACACGATGCCCTCCCAGTGCAGGTGGAACAGTTTTCTGGAAGACCATGAATCCCAGCTAAGTTTGTAATGCTGCATCCTGTGATAGCACTAAGGGCAGTTTTGTGAAGGGAGGGAATAGTGGAAGGCAGGGGGGAAGCACACACCAGTTGGAGCACATTCCTAGCCTGCTCTCCTGATAGGCTTCAGTCATTACACAGCACGTACACGTACCACCCCTGCAACAGCTCAGACTCCCACAGAAACACTTTGCCACGCTTCCAGGAATATTTAATACCATCTCCTTGTGCCTTTATGTGGAACGATTGAAAACCTGCCTGGAGATGGTTGTGGGCAACCTGCTGTAGGTGACACTGCCTCCAGAGGAGTGGGCTGGACTACAGGGTGTCCACGGGTGCCAGCCAGCCTCAGCTGTTCTGTGCTTCTGCAGGAAAAGAAATCCCAGTGGTTCTAGCACTGCGTAAATGAGCTGTGTGATAAATACTTTCCAAACCCTGACCTGTGGAGAAATGTTGCCCTGATCCCTTTTAAAGTTGGCTAAACGACCACAGTGGGGGTTTGTAGGTCAACTGCTTTCTGAATTGTCCCATGCTTTCACTTCTCTGTCTACACTTTTATTTTCATTTAAGAGCAACAGCAAAAGTGTTTCAATTTCTGAAGTCTTACTTTTGGATACAGTAAGTTTCATTTTGATCCACCTCAGGCCAAAAGGAAGTGTCTGGTTTTGTTACGCTGTTAATTGTCTGAACCTCTGTCTCACCTCATCTGTTTCACTTAGATCCAGATCTAACACACGCAATACTTTCACAAACACCTACTTAGAGATTTAAAAAAAAAAAAAATCCCATTTCACCTTTATACAGACCACTGCTCCCTTCACATGTATTCAGGTGTCTGCTATGAGAACCATGCTGTTACTAACTAGTGAAAAAAAAAAAAAAGAATAAAACTATATAAAACATAGTACAGGAAGGAGCAGAATAAAAATGAACTTTTGAAAAATGACAGCATTCCCCACCTTGCATTTTTCCATACAAAACACATTGCATTTTTATCTTTTGACTGAGCCTACTGAGCACCCCACAAATGCTGCAGCAGATGGAACAGATCTGTGGTCAGAGGCAAAGTTCTTCCTTTTAAATTGCCTGTGTTCAACCACTGACCTTATTCCCAGAGGAAATCCACTGCAACAAGTGTGGGAAAGGCTCAGTGAAGGGCAGCTGAAAATTTCCTAGAGCTTTCTCCCAGACCTTAAACTTACCAAAGGCTCTAGTTCTTTGCGGTCTATCAGGTTGAGCTCTGTCACAAAGTAATAAAAATGCTTGTAACAGGTATTGATGTGGGCCTCGGCCCCCATAAGGATGATACGGTCAAAGTGATGAATGTAGACGTGAACAAACACCCGAAAAAGCCGGCAGAGTATCTTCTTGCAGATCTGAAGGAAGTTCTTTGGAAAGGGAACACCTGTGAATAGAGAAGACAGGGTTGTCACAACCATCCTGTCATCCCACGACAACGGCTTTGGAGCAAAGCAGAAGTTTGTAACTACAAAAGAGCCTATGACTTCTTGGGCTTCCTTTCCAACCCATGAGATCACTTCATGAATCTGTTTAGCCTACTGCTAGCACCAAAGGTAACCAGGTACATAAGCATTTCAATGGCTCAAGACCAACAGGTACAGGATCTTTTTTCCCTTAGTAGTTTAATGGTGGAACAGCCCGTGTTGTAACATCCAGTGATTTTCACTGGATTGCACACTGTCTCATTGACACCAATGGTTTCACGTCCTGACGTGGCTCTCACATACTTTTATAGACAGTTTGTCATAGAAGTGATAGACTGTCTTCAGTGGCATGTTCACCATGGCAGATTTAATAATGAAGAGAAATTAAAGGACCATTCCCTTTGCTTTCACCTTCGTCTCAGTTACGCGTACTGCTATGACGGCTGTTTTATAGAAAAGCTCGAAGACCCGCATGTTTTTGCAGATACCCCAAAACAACCGTCCCAAAATAACTTGTAAGTTAGACCGCTCTGCAGCTGAAGACTCCAAAGCAGCAGCAAAAGCAAGATTTGCAAGTAAATCATCAACAGTCCACAGTGTAGCACTAACAGTGCCTTCAATGCTCCCTTTCATTAGAGACTTATCTATACGGCACTGTGTATCATGGAGCTGCCACAAAACCCTGAAGGATTCACCTCCTTCTACGGCTGTGCCCTGGACATGATGACTTCAGTGTCATCCTCAAAACTCCAATGCTACTTTGCTTTTTTGTGTATCCTCCTGATTTTTCAGTTATATTCCACGTGTTAGTCAGATCTGAACTACATAACTGTAGTTATTACTTCTTAAAAAAGAAAAAAAATCTCATAGCTTATCAGCTCCATAACCACTGGAAGACTGGCTCATGTTCTCAACAAGGAAAATGTTTATTATTTGCAGAAGGAAGATGGAGATATTAAATTAACATTATAACAAACTTTATAGTTTTAAAGTTTTAGTATCCTCTTACATATTGCTCAATACCCCTCAATACTCTATACTCCTCGATACTCAGTTGGTGAATTTTTATTATGAGGACATACAGTGAGAATTTCAATGTTTAAAAGAGAATTTTAAACAAATTGTCAGCTGTGGCTGTAGCGCTCTGGGTCCCAACAGGAAAACACGCCTTACTCTGGACTCCCTGGTCCCATGCATGTCGGTATCACAGGGTGAGGTGTATCTGTGGCTGATGTGAGCAGCACTATGCATCTTAACAGACAAGTGGGGAAGCCTCAGCACTCAGATGTGTCCTGATGTCAGTCCTGTGGGCAGACCCTAAAGGTACACTCCATGCCAACTAGGAGTAGGTCTGAGCAGAAACTATGTTTAGGCCCAACTAATCCAAATAATTCCTTAGTCATCTGGAGGAACCTAACATTCCCTCAAACTAAAATGAAACAGCCTTTTATGCTATGCACACAGCAGCCTACACAGAGTACGACACAAACAAGCACAGCAAGACTGCAGACCCTAGTCTGCAGCAAACGCAGGATTAAAGGTCTGAGCGTGTGAAATCAAGAGAGACATCAAGGAAGCTCTGATGCTCTTTTTCTCACACGTTTCCTGAGCAGTAACAACGACCAGCAAAGCAGAACTAATGTACAGTCAATTAAAGAAATTCAGTTTACTACACTGAGGGACAAGGTATGGAAAGTGGGAAGGACAAGACTGGAGGGCAGAGTTCACGCCTACTATTCATTTAACAGAAATGCTCAGGATATCCGTGAGCTACATTCACGTTTGCCATCGCTGAGGTACAGATGACGTGCCAAAGTGCCTTGGTTTCTTTGGCCTGTGCTGGCTCATTGGAGGCAAATTCTTCTGACATAATTTCGGGCAGCTTCAAAGACACAGCCCAGCCTTCTTGCTCCTGATGCACAAACTAGGGTCCAGAGAAATAACTGCATCTGTTGGAGCACAGTTACTTTACCTCCTTCAGAAACATTTGCTTTTGGTTGTCACATCTAATTGTAGGAATTAGTTCATCTCAAAGCCAAAGTCAGTATCTCAGGCCACAGAGAAGGAGGCCTAAATGCTCAAGCCATGAGCTTAGACATCTCTAAACTACAGAAATCACAGTAGGTACAGCTGTCTTGGCAATATTTGAATCAAAATCCCACGCAATTAGCCAAACACCTGGATTATTAAAAGTGAGATGTCATTTCCAAAGGCAAAATTAATATATCCAAAAGATGTAACAGAAACACCAGTTAGTTAACCAGGTGGATCACATTTCTTCAGGAACAGCTATATCAGCAGCCTGATTTACAGTTTTGTTGATCTACCCAAACCAGAATTTTAAAGATGCCCTCTAAAAAATATGTAACACTTAAAAAAAATGGGGCGGGGAGAGTTCCTTATGTTGTCACTGCAAGCTGATCTGAGCAAGGAGGGCAGAGTTTCCTAGGCCAAAACATGCACGCCCCAAGTGCAGAACAAGCAGGTCCATCCCCAGGGGCTGGCAAGAACAACACTGTAATGAAGAAGGTCCCACTGCTGCCACAGCTGCCAAAAGCAAGCCCAAGACATCAGACTGGCAATAGGCACATCCTTGCAGTCCATGAAATTAGACAAGAAAGGTGGCAGAAATGCCATCTCAAAGGAAAAAAACATACCTAATACAACAGAACAGATCCTGAACTGAGTTACAGCAATTTGAACCCAAAGTAATGCCATCAAGACTTGAAAAATCAGAGTGAGCTGGTTCCAGATTTATACTCTGAGGTCAGAATTTGGCCTAATGTTTTCTTCCCACTGCAACTGTTATAAATAAATCAAATACCGAGCGCAATCATTACCAGTGACCCTTGGGAAATGACTAGCTTAGATTTAGATCCTTGACTTGCTGAGGAGCCAACAGTCCTTCAGCTGAGCAATAGTAGCCTTTGCCTTCTCCCCCCCTCCCAAGTCCTTTTCAGCATGCAGTCTGTGTTTCTTAATTTGTTTCTTGGATATTTGAAAAGAATTAAAAAAGCAGTGTCCAAGTATTGAAGTCTGAGTGCTTACAAGAAAGATGACCGTCTCCATATCTGCAAGGTGATAGAGACAGAATGTAAAACCACCAAATTAGATTGCTAAACCATGTTATTAAAAGGCAAAGGAATACAGAGATGGCAGTGATTTTTATTTTTTTTAAAGCTAGCTGCTATTTGCTGGGAAAAAAAAAAAGTATTTCTGGATGCATGAACTGTCAGCCTTGACTCTTCTGCAGGCTAAGACCCAGTGCTGTTGTATGAGAAGAATGTAACAGGAGGATCCTCTTTGTTGACCTGGAGCTCAAAACCCCAGAGCTCCTGATAATGTCCCAGAAAGGTGACAAGTTACGGATACGCTCTCAAACATCCCAGTCATGCCATGCAGGCTCCTTTTCTTCAGGGTTATACATGCAAATGGAAAACAATTTAGTGGAGGATAGACACGTATAGCATGTCCTCCTGAACAACCACTACGCATTTTGAGGCCCTGCTTCCCAGAACATGGCTGAACATTGCCCATAGTAGAGAATAACCTTTTTTTCCTTCTCTCTGTGCTTCTGCACAGCCTTGTTGTTGTTTCTTTTGTTCCTTTTTCTCCCCGTTCCCCTTCCCTTTAATTAAACCATTCTCATCTCCAACCTCGAGCTCTTTGTGTTGTATTTTCTCCCGCTTCCTCTTTGAGGAGGGGGGGGTGAGAGAGCAGTTGTGGTGGATCTCAGCTGCCCACCCAAGTAAAACCACCGCAGCTGTGCAGAGGAAAGGATCAGGAAATGTGCTGGTCACTGCTCACCTGAACATAAGCCAGCAGTGTGCCCAGGTGGCCAAGAAGGCCAGCAGCATCCTGGCTTGTGTCAGGAGCAGTGCAGCCAGCAAGAGCAGGGAGGTGATCGTCCCCCTGTGCTCTGCTCTGGTGAGGCCGCACCTCGAGTGCTGTGTTTAGTTTTGGGCCCCTCACTACAAGAAGGACATCAAGGCCCTGGAGAGTGCCCAGAGAAGGGCAACAAGGCTGGTGAGGGGCGTGGAGAACAAGTGCTGTGAGGAGCGGCTGAGGGAGCTGGGGGGTGTTTGGTCTGGAGAAGAGGAGGCTCAGGGGAGACCTCATTGCTCTCTGCAGCTACCTGAAAAGATGGCGTGGAGAGCTGGGGGTCAGCCTCTTCTCTTCTCTACCTTTCTTAATTTGCTGCCAGCAGATTTGTTCCTTTGCCTGCGTGAGCCTCCAGACCTAATCCCTTTCCACCAAATGGACATTTAGCCTAGTGTTGACACTGCTGGCCTGTGGTCTCATTTCTTTGAGTAATCCACTTACATGGCAACAGCAAACACTGTCAAGGCCCACCTCTCAGGAAACTCACTCTAGAAAAGCAGTATTGTTACTGCTATCTGCTAAAAAGGCTTGTGCAGTGTCCACCAGTGAGTTAATGGCCTGTTGGTTTAAAACACGGAGGTGTTTTCATGTTGTGATGAAGCCCTGTCAACACAAAACCTGTTCTTTGTGTGACACAGAATATCAGTGGGACAAGAAAGAGATAGAGACCAGATGTTAAAGAAACTAAATTAGGCAGGGATAAAAGAGGGTGACTAAAGGTCTGAGATGAATACAGCTGGCAAAGAGGCTCCTTCTTTTGACACAAAACCATCATGGCTCCCCTCACCCCAGTATGTGCAATGACCTCCCCCAGAAGCAGGTGAGCACTGCAGGAAGTGAGTCACGACGCATTTTTCTCCTTGCTGCCTTTTTTTTTTCTCTAGGCAAGAGGAAAAACCCATGCAGTCGCAGCAAGCTGGCGCTGAGGAACAGGCCATGCTGCTCGGCCTTTCTGCCTGCAACGCTGCCGTCGGCTCTGGGCTGGCTCACGCTGCTGCCAGCAGCTTGCAACGAGAGATAAATCTTCCGTGATGCCAGATCCACGAGCACTTCTGACCTTCTGTGTTTGTGCGGTTTG